ATAATATATTGTATATTTCACAATAAATTATTTATAATGCTTTAAAAATGTTTACTAGCATCCATAATATTAAATTGCTTGTCAGTTTAATTTATGATATTACATATTCCGACTTCAGTTTAAAACTGTGTTTCAAGATGTGTTTCGAAAAATAATTAATCAGTGCGCAGTTTATTTGAACTAGAAATTGTAAACATTTACATTCATATTCTTGATTAAATATGGTCTTCTTCACTCATTTTTTTTTCAGTAATTTGTTGTAACTTTATAATAGGTACAACATTTGATGAATCTAATGAGAAAGTATAGTGCCTATCTCTTTAAAAATATTAAAATATCTATAAATTATATTTTTGCTAATAATAAGAAGCAAAATTGCGATTAGTGAAATAATTACTATAGTTTATATCTTTGTAGACCATTTAGGAGAATTAGAGTTCACTTAAATCCGAGAAAACAAGCTCGTGGGTGCTTCCTGCGCTGTAATTCTTAACAATTATATGTAGTCCTCTAGGGACTCAGCGTAGCGTGAACAGAGGGGTAAGTTAAAGCGCAAAGTTTACCAAAGGACATACGAGAAAACGTAAAACAAGTTTCAAGATTCAAAGTAATTGCTCGTTTTCTACATATAATTATTTGAAACGGCAAGATTATTATCTGCTATATTTAATTGTTATCGTTTTTCACAATTTTATTGTATCCACAAGTTGTCTTCCGTTTTCTGGTTTTATGTGCACATACATGTGTGAGCCGATGAAGTCAAATAACGTGAATGGCAGGCGTTTTCGATATTGTCTTGACGGCATCGTAAAAGCAAAAAGCATCAATGCGACTCTCTCATATCTTTGCGAACTACTTTTTCCTATACCTATACTCATTTTCAATCCAATGCGACATCAAATTTCTCAGCTATAAATCAATTAAAATTTTACGTTTTTTTCTATTCTTAGCAGAATTGATAAACTCGTTGATGCAAAATTTGTTTGTAAAACTTGTTTGCAAGGAAAAATAATTCGGAAACAAATGATTTTCTCTGATACACGTTAACGATTATTATTATCTTTCATAAAATAAAATGACACAATGTGTACTATATTATGAAGCATTGCACATGTATTATAACAAACGCATCAGTCTTTTATTTATACAATGTGTAAACAGGCCGTCGAAATTAACATCAAATAAAGACACGAAGAAACGAATACAAATGATTCTCTCATTTATTTTTTAGAGAGAAATGTTCATTAATCTCTCTGAAACAATTTCTCGCACTTGGAGCACGCTGTCGGAATAATTAAACAGATTTGCTTTGACTGACCCACTTCTTCCTTTTGAGATAAGTTTACTGCTAGCATATTAATGAATATATGCAACATTTGCAATTTATTCGAATATATGTTTTCGCTAAGTAAATTCTCGTCTGCTGTTTGTTCGGTAAATTAGAAGTTCAATGTAAACATAAATATGTGAAATAATTGCACAATATTGATCTTTATAAGATTATGTGATATTTGATTTCTGAAACAATATAAGTGAAAAATGTTGTATAAACAATGTGATATGTATTATAGGTATAAAATACATATGGCGTTTATTTAATGATTAATGACATCTACATTTGAATATTTAATTATATATATTATTGATTCTTGATTTTCCTATGTTATTACATAAGTATCAAAACAAGGTTCTGTGTTCCGTTAATTATTTTATACGGCATGTTCATACATCCAATCGAAATATGATAGGACTTATGTGTACACGCTAGTATATTTTGTGTTAGTGCAACCAGCCGAAAACGAGACGAGTCCTACGAGTTGTTTATTGACAGTGAGAGGACCATCAGTAACTCTCTAAAAATACAATTCCTCGATAGTTAAAAATATATTTTACAAGGATTTGATTGAAAAAAACCAACTCGCGAATAGTGTTATTTTTTACAATTAACTAAAAATACGTTTCTCTGTTATAGAGTGCAAAGCTAGTTCGTGTTATTTTTGCTTTGTTATTTTTTAATTAAATTGACGATGAACGGGTTTTTGATTCGTTCAGCTGCGAATTGTGCCAATCCTGCTATTAATTAAATTAAATTAAGAAACATAGCAAGGAAACCTGAGTATGGTAAAGTATAAGCGTTGTATTAAGATATTGTTTTTAGAAATTATTAGAAACAATGATTTGAAGCTTTGCATGAGAAGAACAATGCGGGCTAAGAGTTAATGACTCTACTTGGGCAGACGGCGTAATTTTGCATGTACGATCGGTAACAAACGATGACGGTGTGTCTTGTATAAATAATTTACCAAACATGAATTCTTTCTTACGGTTAAATTTGCGCAGCGTGTTATAAAAAGCAGCGAAAAAATTCCATGTATAGTAACTAACATAACTAAAAGGTTGCAATACTTTTTTTTTAATGAGAATACAATTTATATTCACTGAGCGGTTGATCTTTATTTTTGAATCCATAAATAAGAACCAATCGTTCGGTGATCGATCGGACCAATCGTTAGGTTGCATTCCAAAACCAATCGAAAAGAAAGTGTTGCAACCATAACCTTTCAACCATAAGTATAATATATAATTTTCTACAATAGGTCTGATTAGTTATTTTAATATTATATCTATGAATTCAAGACTGAGAAAGATTTTGACGAGTGGTTTGTATATGGTTTGGATATATGTGTATAAATTTATACTGAAATACTTAAGTACTAAGATTTACTTCAGGTGCGCGCGACCGAAGATAGGATGTTATTTTTCTTAATTGATTTATTCTCATCGGTTTAATACAAATTATAATTATTAATATCTATGACGTACTTGTTATATGTTGAATTGGTTAATTCTCTTCCCTTAAGATTGCAAGTATATAAAGTACAAATGTACACGTGTGACTTGTGAGAATAATTTGAAGTGCGATTCTCGAACAAATTACATCTGAAAATTTAAATGATTGAATTGTTAAAATACTTACTAACAGTATAGGTAATGGGTTTCCGGATACAGCCGACGATTACTACTTAGCGTACTTTGACAGCTAGCAAACATTTTCTTTAGCTTTTCGTGGTTTTTGATGTAACAGAAATGAAGGGCTTCTGTCATTACTCAAGTCATAATACATATAATCATTGCAGAGTCAGAGACATTCCAAGGTCAATCGAATTTCACAGTGTAGTATTGCCTTGCAATTTTATTTCTTTAATCTAACAAGATATTGTCAGATATAAAACAGTGATGTCTTTATCACAACGAGATGCGTGGTTCTTTAGCGAATGACTGTTGAAAAATAGCTGGTGCTAAATACAATATTACAATGCCATGTGCATAATCCACTGAGGATTTTTTTTACGAGAACCATACTATTACTTCAACAATATATCAGAGAATCTAAATTATGTTTTTGCTAATGAATATAATAAGAAAAAGCAAAATTGCGGTTAGTGAGGTACATAATTATTACGAGGCATATGTCATTTATATCTCTGCAGTACACTTAAGAGAATTAGAGTTTATTTAAATTCGGGAAAACAAGCTTGCAGATGCTTCTCGCACTGTAATTCTTAACAATTATGTGTAGTACTCGAGAGAGCACAGCGTAGCGTAAATGGAGATGTAAGTTGCAGCGCAAAGTTTACTGAAGGAAATACGACAAATCGTAATGCCAGTGTTCAGAGCTTACAGTAATTGCCCGTTTTTCACGATAATTAAAGCGGCAGAATTATTATTTACTGTGTATTTAATTGTCTTTGTTTTTCATTGAATAATTTTATCGTATGCGAGAGTTATTAATTTTCCGTTTTCCGCTTTTGTGTGCATATAAGTATGCGAACCAGACAAATGAAATCACATGGATCGATTGAATGCCAGACGTTTTTAATATCGCCTTGGCCACGTAAAAGCAAAAAGAAGAAACGATGCAACTAGTGTCTTTGCAAATTACTGTCCTACTTAGTTTCACATCCGATGCCTTGTGACATCAAATTTCTCAACTACACAGCAATACATCAATCGAAACATTACATTTTCCCTTTTTGACAGAATTCATGAAATTATTTACAAGCAATTCGCTTGCTCGCAAGTAAAAATAATTCTAAAACAAACATCTTTTTTTGCTATAACGATTTTTATCAACGATTATTATTGTTTTTCGTGAAATGGAAGAATATTATGCAAATTATATCTTTTAAAAAGCACATCAGAGTTTTCCATGAGTTTCCAGAGTTTATATAATCTGCTCGTCTATACAAGCGTGTAAGAAAAGTACAGAAATTAATTAAAAAATCAATACATTATGGGCTCAAAGATTTAAAAACAAAATAATTAAAAAAGGATTAAAGGGGTCAAGCAGAATTATCGTGCTATAAATTTAACATTACAATATACTCTTTATTTACGAGTACATCATAATCACAAACGTTTCGACGCACATCGAGTTACCTTCAATGTATATACTTTATATTGGTCAATACATGATAAATCTCAGATTTTTAGCGGCTTTAGTATGAAATAGAAATACAAATTAATGTTGGATAGAAGCAAGACGAAACAGATGCAGAGATCCTTTTATCCATTTTCAAAAGATCAATGTTCATTAATCTCTCTGAAACCATTTTGCGCACTTGGCGCACGGTACCAGAATAATTAAGTGGATTTTTTTTAATTGACATATTTCGCTCTTTTAAGATACGTTTATTAATTTATCGACTACAAAAATAATTAAACAGACTTTATATATATATATATACGCAATATCTGTTATTTATTTGAACGTATATTTTCTTTAAGTAAGTTCTCGTTTAATGTCGGTTTGATATTGTTAAAGTAAAAGTTATAAATATTAGTATGTAAAATAATTGTACGATATTGATCTTTAGAAAATATATATCTGATGTCTGGAATAACATTAAGAAAATTTTGGGCATGCATATAAGCTATGTGATTTATTAAATATATGATGTTTATTTAACGATTTGCATATGATATCCATTTGTATTCATTAAGTACCAAAACAGATTATATTTCGTTAAATTTTTTCCATATTCTTATTTATCCAATCAATGTACGACGAAACGCGTGTATACACAGCGGGATATTCTGTGCTAGTACAAATGTTAGGATAAAGCCCAAACGAGACGAGCCCTACTAGTAGTCCATTGACAGTAAGAGGGCCACCGGAATCACCCTAAAAAATACATTTCTTCGATAGTTAAAAATATATTTCATAAGAAATTGATTGAAAAAATCAACGAATTTGATTGGAAAAAACGAACAATATTTTTTATAATTAATTAAAAATATACTTCTTTGTTAGAGCAGAGCTAGCTCATATTATTTACGTTTCGTTATTATAATTAATCTGATGTTTGATGATGATACTAAATCGCTGAGCTACACAATCTTATTGTCAATTAAGTTAAATTATAAAACATAATGAGGATCCTCAAATACATTAATGAACAAAAAAATAATCAATATAGGATATTAACAATCAACAAATTAGTAATGCAGCAAATTACTGTAGCAATTAAATATTTTATGCATGTACGTTTTATTAAGTATTATATTAATTAATTAATTAATTAATTGCTCATTAAAAATTTATGATAAGTGAAATATTGAAATCACGATGTGTCTCTATAATGATTTCCGACAATTGCACGATATAATCGGACTTATCTCTTTATCAAAAATGTGTATCACAATACGCGATTAGAAGTGCAAGCGTTATATTGAGACATTATGTTTAGTAATTGTTAGAAATAATGGTGAATTGAATCTTCACATTGAAAGAATAATGCAGATTAAATAATTAATAACTTTACCTGAACAGACATCGTATAATTATACATATGATCGACAATTATTGACAGCATATGTCTTATGTAAATAACTTACCACGCATGCACCCTTTTGTATGGTTGGATCATTTGCGCAGATTTGCGTATCCTCAATGGTTATATTTGCTGCTGTATCAAACAATTCTTTACAATAAGCGTCATTAGTTATAATATTATCTACAACATATAAATGTCCAGCCTCCTCTCCTTCAGGCTGTAAATATATAAAGTACAATTGTACACGTGTAATTTATGAGAGCAATTTGAGATAGGATTCTCAAATATTTAGCGCCTAAGAACCTAAATGATTGAATTAATAAGACACTTACAGATATTATTCCGAATCCCGATACTTCTGCTATCGAGCCTCCCTTGACAGTTTGATTTTGTTTCGGTAAATTGACAGAACATATCCGAGAAGAAAATTTTAATGGTTTTTGAAGCTGAAAATAAATCTTCTGTATACTCTTTTGCGCAGTCTTAATTTACAATTTAATTGCTTAATTCACAATTTAATTAAAATTATATGGAATGAATGTTATCATACTATTGTATATGTTATCGTTACCCTAAGTAAAGTGATATCATTGGCCAAAGGTGGGGGATTGTACTCTTCGTGTACGAAAATGGACTGAACCAGATGCCTTGAATACGGTTTTTGTAAATCTGTTGTTCCCGCAACGACCGATAAACCCGAAGTGTTTGCACTGTAAAAAATATTACAAACAGCATTTTTTTTGCATCTATACAGGATAACGGTCAGCACGATTTTTTAAACATTTTCAGACACTTCAAGTTGAAAGATGAATATTTATTTGTTTTATACAAACTATATAACATGCGATAAAAAAATATTTTATGAAAAAAAAATAAAAATTTTTTCATATATACCAACTTAAATTTTTTAAATAACATCATATAATTTTCTTCCATAATATTGTAGGGATTTTCCAGACAAATTTAACTCGATTATCGAGGAAGTTATTATTATTGATGTTTTAATGATTTTATTGATATCAGACATGCAGCATTATTTGTAACGGTATCTCTGATTAGAAATGTACACAAATGGATATTTATTACATATATATATTATGTAATAAGATATGCAATAAAATCAATAAAGCATTAATAAAAGACATTTCGATAGTGATTTGAATTTGTCTTGAAAACCTTTATAATATTATAAAAGAAATTGTATAGTGCTATTTAAAAAATTCAAGATGATTTTAATTTTTTTATGAAAAAATTTTTAAAATTTTTTATCGTCAATATTTTGTAGCCTGCATAAAATAGATAATTATTTATCTTTCAACTTTGTTTATTGTCAAACTTCTTTATTGTCAAAAGTGTCTAAAAAATCGTGCGGACCGTTAAGCTAAATATTCTGTATGTAATTTATTTTTTCGAAGTGTTTCTTGAGATTTTCCTACTTACTTAGGTACACAGTGAGCAGCAGTTAGCACGTAATACTTGTTAATTATAACTCCACCGCAGAAATGCATGTCATTTTCATTTCGCAGAGAAACCTGAATTATAAAATGCATGTTATGGATGGATGTAAAAGGAGAATGTAAAAATTTCTAATATTAATATACGTCTAGCATTACAAATAATATTATCAGCTTTGAATTGCTAAATGAAAGTATTGTAGTTAACTCATTTCTCGACTAAACTCGAAAAATTAGAGACATATTTTTAAACTCAAGCAAATAATAAAATTAAATTTGATTAAGAATGTTTTACTGGCTTACCTGATATGGGATTTCATCTCGACAGGCACGTCTTCCTCCTACAATTCTCGTTACTAATTTCATTGATGCACCTGTATAAGATTTGTTATTAACTTATTATATTTATGAATTTAATTAAATTAAATGATTATATACACACACACAAAGATGATCAATTTATTTTAGAATACTCACCATAATCAATAGCGATCAAGGGAATTAAGAATAATAATTGTATCATCATCGTTATTAATCTTATGCGTATCTTAACGTTGTCAACTGATTATTCTAAATCTGATACACACGAAGATGTGCCTATAGAATTTAATTTGATTACATAAGATTAGAAAATATGCTTATTAATATTTAAAATCCTCCTAATGTATCGGGATTTATATTTTCTTTTCTATTGACTACTAGTATTAATGAAAGATTGACAAGTATTTAGTATTATGTTACTTTCTATATTGTATACATACACAAAATTTGACAAACGTATCAAAGAAATGTTGGTAATTTATCCTAATGGTTTTGCAAAGAAAAGATATTTTTTCTGTAACTCCTTATCGTTAAAAATTCGTCTTACATAATTTCATTTTTTATTTGCTTCTTGTGAATAAAGTATTCCAAGTCGCACTTTAGTAAATTTCAGTTTTATAAGTTTAATACTGTT